GCAGGAAAATGTACACGCACATCTCCACCCCATGCAGACTAAGTTTTTGGAAGGAAGAAACAGTGATAGAAAGATCCTTTATTCTACCATTCTCCTGGTATTTGAGTCACTTTTCTCTGCATGAATAAAGGTATATTAGTTTTCTTAGGCATCGTTATGAAAGTAATGTTTTCAACCTTACTGCTAGTAATGAGTTCTGAACAGGTTATTGGGCACTTTTGATCTAGATAACTTCAGAAGAATAATTGCAAGAAAAGCAATAGTGGCATTATATCCACAGTATGGAGAAAACAGACTTACACTTCTATTGCTTTTCTTAGATGATTGTGTAGCTCTTTCAGGTTAAAGGAAGTTATGGATGAGTATTTTTTTATTTCCTCTCCCTTCCCCCAGTGAGGTTGGTGCTTCAGTGGTGAGTGTTTTGATGCTGATGGTGAGCCACGAGTAAAGCCACTGTATTTGGAGGGAAAACTCCTTCTTATGGTTTTAATGGAAGTATTCCTGAAATCTCTGGTTTGGTCAAAATTCTGTGCCAGTTTTAAATTTTACAGTTTTGGCCTGGTTTTCTCGGGTGTTGTCTTCCTCAGGCTTTGAGGTGAGCCGGCTGGTTTGACTGGTTGGGGATGGGGACTGGGCAGTGTGTCCTGCTTGGAGCTGGGGTCTGGCAGGTCCCAGCTCTCTTACTTTCCTTTTGTTTTCTGAAAGGATGTTACAAATCAGTGTGACGTGCAGATACTTCTGTTGGATTTCATCCGGCTCCAATGCTTCTGGCTGGCACTCCCAGAACTGTATGCTCAGCGAGGGAGCTGAGGGTTCAAATTTTCCAGCCCCATTACAATTCTAGTAAGAGGGACAAGGACCCATCTACAAAAACTATGCATAACTATTGGATGAAAGGAAGATCTTGATCTTGAAATTACAGAGGTTATTTGTATAGGAGCTAAGCGATTACTTATTCCAAGCATCTTGGTATTGATAAATTATGACTCAAGAGAGCAGGTCCCAAAATGTCTCAAGAGGCAGGTACCAGGTCTCCTTCATTTCCTGGTCCCGCTGAGGGCTGTGAAACTGATGGAAAGGTCCATTTCTCAGAGCAGCTGAAGTATTTAGGGAGCAGGTTTTGTTTTGAAACTGGGACAGGCATTGCTTCCCCTACAATCTTCTAGTAACAGCATAAAGGGGTGAACATGTGCGAGGAGGGTATTATGTTCGGTGCGCTTGGAGCCAAGCTGAAACTATGTTTTTTGTTTGGCCTTGTTTTGGGGGATTGTTTTTTTTTTTTTCCCAAATTGTTACACAGAACAGTTTCCTTTTTAGACTTAAAAGGCATCTCTTTCAAACAAGCTGTTTCGAAGCTGAGATCAAACTTGATGCTGTCATGTTGCTCTGAAGTGGTCCGACTTCAGTACGGGAGTTCATTGTGATTTTGTAGTCCTTTTTGGTTTTGCTAGTTTTGTGTGCAGTTAGTTTCTAGTCACTCCTTACTTTGACCTTTCGGCACTATTTTGAACCTTTTGCTCTCTAGACTTCACAGAATTTGTGTATTCTGAGTTCTTCACTGTGCTTTCTCTAGCGGTGAAAATTCTGTCCCTTTATACCTGCAGAGCACGTAATACTATTTTTTTTCATTTGCAGTTCAGTTATGTTCCTCTAGCTGTCCCAAATAAGGTAGACAGTTCCTTTGATAATCCGAATAAATATGTTTGAGAGGTGGGAGAATGTGTTCTTATGGTTTCTCAAGTCTTGCTGCTTGGATATTTTACAACCCATCCAACTCTCATTTTGGATTATTTTGGACAGTTTCTATAATTTGTTCAGTAAAGAGGCTGCAAGAACATATATCCCTCACTTGTATTTGTTAACACGACTGATAGTTCACTAGTTTGGCAATTGCCTGATAATAATATTACCGCTTGCTTTTTGAACTGTCATCTGGAAAGAAAAGAGAACTTTGCTAAAAAAGTGTGTGCATGAGACAGAGATGGAAAGGTTAAATGTTAAAAT